CAAAAAGCTATTGTTTTGCTCAACTGCACATGGAGAAGTCGCACCCACCCCATTCTTCTTGATGAAAGCCAATCTCCGACTACATGAGGAATCACAGTGTTCATGAACTTGTCCATCCTTCATATGAACATCAACGACTAAGGCGGAGAAGGAGTATCTCGTTTCGCACTTTTGACCCACCATTTCTGTTGCTATGTTCTTCAGGACGTAGAAATGTTCAGCCTCCAAGTGCATAGCCAGCTTCCATATTCAGAGAACTTGAGTTCAGTTGTGGGTGCTACCGAGTGCGCAAGTGTGGCCCCGTAAGCCAGGAAGCCAGGGTTTTCTGGAAGTCCCGAAGCCCTGGAAGTCCACGACGACTGCAATTGAAAGGCTCAATTGTTTTGTTTTTGGTTGGGTGACTCGAAAAGGAGTTTCCTTCACTTCGGTGGCGCCCAAAATCGTCGGACTTCTAAGGGCTCAGGGTATAACTCACGCACTAGTCACATGATTCTTGGCCACTAGCCCGGATTCTGCATCCCAGCGGTCCCAAAATTCCGCAGCCCGGAAAGACAAACATCACGGCGTCGGGATTAAAACGATGGTCTTCAGTCACCATAGTCATCATCTCCGACATGTTCATCCACAATGTTGACCTGGTGACCCGGTCCTTCCTTTTTGTGGGTCGGGCTGGACCTTCACCAACGTCCCTTCGCACTCGCCCACCTTCCAAAGGGGTGAGGGAGGCTATGTAGCTCGGTCAGTGCAGAGTTCTCAAAGCGCCAAATGCGAACCTCGGAAACCGTTGAGGATCGATGGCGTGTCATCATGGTGTCTCTTGATCCCACAAAAGAAGGAGCACTGCCGCAGAAAGAAACATGATTCTGATACATGTCAAAAGAAAACCTGCTCTCCATGTGAAATTGAATGCACCGGAAACATGTGCTGGAACTAGCCTGTTTCTCTATCCAACTGCTTGGATGCTTGCAGCAACCCACAGAGCCTCCAACACCAGCAAACACAGCCTCCCACAGCCAGGAGTATTTCTGGGCCGCTGCCCAGAACACACACAGTTGGGTCTTGAATCTGGGCACCAACTCATTGGGCGTCCACTGGGTCACACCACTGGTCACCTTCGCGCCGCGACTCTTCCTCCGGAGCCTCCGGAGCCTCCGGAGCCGTCGCGGTTCGCGGTTCGCGGTGGCTCGCGTGACGAACACATCACCCCTCCCGATCCTTCGCCTTCAAAAGGGAAAGGCAAGGCCAGGGTCTCTCTCCATACCCTACACATCCCTAACTCCCCAACCGAAAACTAGGATCCTCCTGTCAACAGGCTCTGGGCTCAGCGGACCGCCTCTCCGTCGCTCCCTAGGACGCGGGGCGGAATGGCAGCCCGTGAAGACGGCGGAGATGTCGCTCTCGCAGTGCAGCACGTTGATGACGTGCACCTTGCCCGAGCTCAGTCAGCTCGCCGCGCGGCAGGCGCAGGCGAGCGAGCAAAGCTTGGGCCCGCGGTGGTGCCTTTTCTCTTCCGGTGGAAGGTGAAGTCCGCAAGATGGAGAGAGCAAGGTGAATAGATGTGAATGGGCCATCCAGCTACGGGCAGTTGGTTCGGAGGGCCCTTCATGGAGAGACCCTCTGCGAGGAGCAACAAAAATATTCGTCGTGCTTTCCCGCCCTAATACGTCCGGTTCCCGTCTTCCATCGCGATGAGCAAAAACACAAGAGCGCCAACAGTCAGTGCAGGTTCAAGTGATCCAAGCGACTGCTTCCAACTAGCAACTCCTATGACTGATCGTTGGGGAGGTACCTCGGACTATAGACGAGATGTTCTCCATGACTTACCCAAGACTTTTCTCCATGCTCCTTGGTGAAACAAACCCTCAGCCATATGGATTTGCACTCAAACTGGCGCAAGATGAGGGAGAACAACAACACCAAGGTCTTCACCCAAATGTCCCAGCTCCCCCCGCGCAGCCAGGGGGGCTCGCCGCACACCCCCGCCCCGGCACATGGGCAGCATCGAGTCGGAAGACCTGGCCATGCGAAGAAACGGAACGCGAAAGAACGGAAATCACGGGCCACCGAGTCTTGAGCTGAAGAACGAGGTCAAAGCGGTTTGATCGATTTATATATGGCTTCTGCTCTTGGCTCCAAGCAAAAAAACATGAATACATCCTCCCGCGCCTAGGCAGAGACACTGAAATCACTTGCCAAGCATTTTATAGAGAAATAGTTTCTATAAAATGGGTTGCGAAGGATAAATTATCTATAAAATCACTGGCACTGGTGATTCTATTATAAACCGCCAAACCAGATCCAGCAATAGTAAAATATGATGAGAAGTGAAGCCTCTATAAAATGCTAAATCCAATCCAGGAAAGAAAATCATCCGGATCACATATGTTCTTTATATAAAATGCCTGGCAAGTGATGGAATCAAGGTGCATCAAACGGAAAAACATAAAATGAAGAAATCTGTATATCAATCAATAGATCTGGCCAGGTCATTTTGTAGAGTGACCACTGAGATCACTATCATAAAATGGCAAGCCAGACACTGATGCAAATAAATCTAGGCGTGCGAGATTTGCATCTGGTTTGTCACTTTATGGTGAAACAAACGGTCGTCTCTATTAACAAGTCGTTTACCAGGCCCCAACAAATGCACCCGCAGCCTTTGTGGACATGCAACTGCTGATGCGTTTACCAGGAACCAACAAGTGCATCCGCATGATTTGTGAATGCAGGCAGCGCAAACAAAGGCAGAATCTGCTAAAAGCAGTACCAGCACCTCCACCAGTGATTTGGGAAAGAAGTGTCCAAATTTGGCATTGGGAACTCTAGCAAAAGGAATTTATAGAGCCTCTTTGCGTAATTCGAGCCGTCAAGAAATTAAGAGGTCTCTATAAAATGCCTGTCAAGTAATTTTGGAAAGAGGTGTCCAAATTTGGCATTGGGAACTAGGCAAGTCCATCAAGAGAAAGGTCTCTATATAATGCCTGTCAGATCATTTTGGACAGAACCGTCCAAATTTGGCATTGGGAACTCTAGGCATTGCATTTGATAGAGGCTCTTTGGCTAATTCGAGCCGTCAAGAGAAAGGATGAGAAAGATCTCTATGAGATGCCTGTCAAATGATTTTGGACAGAACTGTCCGAATTTGGCACTGGGAACTCTAGCAAAGGGAATTTATATGGGCTCTCTGCGTAATTCGAGCCGTCAAGAAAAAGGTCCCTATAAAATGCCTGTCAAGTGATTTTGGAAAGAACTGTCCAACATGTTCTTTCTACAAAATATTCTTGCCATGCCTGAATTACTCCACACACATATTGTTTCACACAGGTCGCTTCTATAAACTGTTCTTTCTTTACAATGCTATTGCTAGGTGCGAACGCTGTCACACATGTCAACCCCCAAATTCTCTATAAAATGCAAAGCCAGATCCAGATGTTCTCACAACGGGTTCTCTATATAATGCAAAACCAGACCTCAAGCTAAGTTTGTTTGAAAGCCCTCCACTCCTGAAATGAAATGTTCTTGCCAGGTTCACTAGACATGCAAAAAAAACTACCAACATTAACGTAAATCCTCTATATAAAATGCTGTCACAGGATACTCTCCAAAAGGCATTTTATAGAGTCAAATGATAGTCATTTCAGGAGGACCAAGCGCTCAGGAATTTAATACAATCCTCTCTCTCTCTCTCTTTTTCTCCATCTTCTTCAGGTCATGATCTGCCCCGGTTTGCTTCAGGAAGAAGTATACTATAAGCAAACGAGTTAAGTCACATTCTCACGGCTTAAGTCACATCTACCGCTTGGGTATGCTACAAAATGCTTAAGTCACATCAGGGCGGCTTAAGTCACATCAGGCCAACATAGAAGTGCATGGCTACGCTCACGTGAAGGGATGCAATTTTTTGTGAGGTCGATGGTTAAACAACCGATGAGGATGCTTGTAAAACAGCTGTATTTGCTGATGTCACAGGCATGCATTGAAAATCAACGAGGGTGCCGATGAAAAAAAGCTGTATATCGTGACACAGTGGCTGGTATGACATGTGTGAAAACACCATGGGCACGCGAGTTTTCAGGGACCGACACTTTGAGCTCTTGCTGTTGAGGTCCGGTAGTGCCCACTGCGATCTGGAGCTGGCGGTTGAGGCGAGGAGGGGAGGAGTGAGTGGCGGGATCCTCTAAAATCTAACAACCCTCACCTGACAGGTGGGGAAAAAACGAATGTCTCAACGAGCATAGAATACACACAAACGGCTTCAAACTCAGAACGCAAGCTGGGACGCTGACCCGACTGCAAGGCAGACGCTCAAAAAATACCCACTTAAAGCATCTTAAAACAATAATATAATATCCGCCGACCCCGGCCTATAGCCAAAGCCTAGGCGGGGAGGCGCCTGGGACACCGCAGGGTGAAGCAGTTGGCCAAGTCTTCAAACCCCTCGGCAGTTTGGCCTACTCCTGCACCGCAGCCTTGCCCTCTTCCTCTTCTCGGCAGCTCGCAGGCCTGCCTCTTCTCTTCTTATGGGCTTCCAAAAGCGACGTTAGGCACTTTGCACCGCCTTTAAACCCCCCGCGCGCCTTCAAACCCTTCCCAGCGCCTTTGGCGTACTCCTGCATCGCAGCCTTGCCTTGCCTCTGCGTCAGGCGGGAGCCTGGGGAGAGAGCCTCTGGAACGTGCATCGCAGCCTTGCCTGCGTCAGGCGGGAGCCTGGGGAGAGAGCCTCTGGAACGTGCAGCCCGTGCACTGCAGCCCCAGCGCCTTTGGCCTACTCCTGCATCGCAACCGCAGCCTTGCCCTCTTATCGGCAGCAGGCCTGCCCTCCGCAGCGCCTGCGGGAGCCTGGGGAGAGAGCCTCTGGAACGTGCAGCCCGTGCACTGCAGCCCCAGCGCCTTTGGAAATCCTCAGCAGCTATCAGTGCAAAGTGATGAGACTCACCGACTCACCCAACTACCATGCAGTGGCTTGACGGTCCAACGCACATGTTAGCTATCAACGTTTTTCATACCGTGTCCATTGACTCATTCATTGACCAACTCAAGCCAAGGGTCCTTCCCTCAGACTTCTTTTTGTCCAAAGGAGCAGCAGCAGCCCCCAGAGGAAGCAACGCGCCACCTAGTGCTGAGTTAAAGTGATCCACGCAAAGCGCCCTCAAACTACCCAAGGAGAAAGCCAGCGTATATGCCACGACCCACTTGCGCTCAGAAGTCCTGGGCGCATGCGCCGAAGAGAAGGACTTGCTGCTGATCCGCTTTGTGACATAGACTTCCTTGTCTGAACTGTGTTTGACCTGACTGAGCCCATCTGGTAGAGACGCGAAGAACTCTTGATGCTGTTGACGTTCGACTTGGTCGTCAATGACTGCGGTGTGCTCTGTCACGACACCTCGTGGGCCTTGAAAACGAAGCTTTTGAAGAGACTTGGCAAAAAGCAACATTGAAAACGCATTGGCAGAGACAGCGCGCAGGTCGTTCTCCACGGAGGCCAACTCCACCTTCTCGCCCAGCTCAGACTTTCTAGTGCGCAAAGGTAAGCGGAACACTACCGGATAGTCATCTATGTAGGAGTGGAATGGTTGGACACTATCTGGAAACATCTCCTCCAACTTTCCTCGGTTAAACTGCTTGCCACGTGTCTCATTGGTCTTGGCAACAAAGTTTCTGGTCAAGTCAAAGAAATGTATGCGACCATTGGCAAAAAGCTGGGGGCAATCGCTGTATCGGTAGAAGACATTCATGCCAACGCCAAATCTACCAGTGCTTGCAAAGTCAACGCTCTTTGCAGATCTGCCCACTCTCTGCATGCGCTTGATATCCTCTTCGCGCAGTTCTTTGTTGGACAAAATGTAGATGGCGTTCCCTTGCAAGGCTGCACAGCGTGAATCCACAACCCGCTTTGTGCCAAACTTCTCATCGCTTAGCACAAACGTGAGCTCCGTCGCACCAAAGTCATCTGTGTTCTGCACGAACTCAGTGACCACATCGCTCTTGTCATTGTAGTCCTTCAGAATAAGCTTCACCTGGCTGTGCACAATTTCCCTGTGGACTGAGCCGCCCGGATGGTTATTCTACAACACATTACAAATGCCAAACACGTTGTAAAAACTATTTGGTCGTCAATGGAGGTTTGGCTGCTTACTCTTCATACCAAGGAAAGGGCAGCTTTAAGAGGCCCACCTGATCAACCAAATCTGCTTCTTGTCCGAAAGCATCCTCATCTTCCGTACCATCCTCGCACTCTTTCTTCAACCTTTCTCGGACAGATTTGCATCCAAGCTTCTGCCCATGGTCAGGGGAGATACGATCGTCCAACGTCTGAACGTCACCAGCTCCTTTCCACTGCGCATCGTTGATGTACACATGTTCAATTGGCAAAAATTGTTTGCTGTTGGTTGGTACCTTCAACCTTCTGAGAGAACGCGCAAACCCTTCCACATCTGCCTGTTCTGCCAGCTCTGCACAAAGGGCAATGGCCAAGTCCTTGCCGAAGCATGGGATGGCGTCCACCAAAGCTTCAACGTGCATCCACTTTGGGGTGCCTGTTGCCCAAGCCAGCTGTTGAATCTGCGGCAGCACAACCCCAAAAGCCGGCAACAATTTGTGAGGGCCTTGGGCTGATGAGCAGGCGGCATGCTTTGGGCTGAAAAGCAATGTTGTAGGTCCATCACTCTGGCAAGGCACATAAGCCAAATCGGAGAGCTTCTTAAGAAGCTGCTCGGCCGTGCCCTTGTGTCTCGAAGCCAACTCTTTTAGGACCACCTCTATGTCCTCTATGTGATGAGTTACTTTCAGATCAGCTACACGCACGCGCGGTGACCGAAGGCAACCAACAAATTGATTCCAAGAGCTGCTTCCGAGGCCGCGAGAATCTGAATACTCTGGCATTGCCCTGGCAATTGCTTCCAGCTGCGACACAAGAACTTCAGGCTCATTACTGACGGATCTTTTGGCCTTGAGCAGATTGCCATCCACATCCAGAGTGTTCTCAACGGCCCATACAAATTTGGACTCTGAAGCGGGGAATACAGTTGCTAACGACTTCAAAGTATGGCATTCACTTTTCCGCTTCTTGTTTACAGCCTGAGGTCGCTGGGCCACTACCCATTGCAACTCTTGCAATTCTTCCAAGCAATGGATCTTGTCTCCAGGCATGGTCGAATATGTCTTCTCCTAGTGGTTGAACAAGATCTTGGAGAGCTTTTGTTTTCTTGACTGTTGAATGTGGCGGGCCTCCACAACTGCGTCCTCCCATGTAATCTGCTGTTTCAGACCGCACCCCTGCAAAGCTCGCCAAACAGCAGCCTCGGCCTGAGAGGCTCACGCTGGCGAACGCTGCAACATGTGAAACTCTCAGCTCAATTCCACGCAGCTCTTTCATCAACACACGCATGTCACTCGATCTACAAATACATTATGCTTCAATACATTATCAATGATGATACAACACTTTTTGACCACGGACCATCAACCTAACGTTCAATCATCGACCGGGCGGCTTGAGCATCAGGGAATTGAGTCTTCAAAGTGCTCAAAGCCGCAGTGCATCCTGAGGTGAGCACGAACGGCATGAAGCCAGTCGCACCCAGGGTCTAGGGTTATGGGGACAACAATTTCGGACCCAGGGTGACTGGAAAATCGGAATCAGATAAGTAACGCTGGACCACATCGAGCCCTGGCAGCTGCGCATTCGGATCAAAGCCTTTTGGAACTGGATAGCTCTTCGGCATATCGACTTTAAAAGTCACTTGGCTTTCAGGCTCAGCATGCTTCCGACACCGCAGGCAGCAGCAGGTCAGCAGGCATCCCAAAAGAAAACCCACTGCAAAGACCAAAGCGGTCGCTGCTTCCAGGCTCGGGGCTCTGGCGCGCCAAATCCTTTTTTTCCAGTGGCCCGAAACTGCCCTTCAAACGCCTCAAACCCCTCAAACCCCTCAAACCCCTCAAACGCTCCGACACTTGCCGATGGTTGTGACATACGTCTGGATTCTGGACGCTTCAGACGCTCCATGGATGCTTCAG